CCCAGAGGACGTGCTGCCCGAAACACAGCCCGGGCTTCCTTTAGAAAAGCTAAACTTTAATTACTCAGGTAGTTCTTACAATGAACACAGGTACCCAGAGACTGGTCTTAAATGCTCACAACTGTACAAAAGACAAGTAGAAAACCTGCGGTGGTGTGTGGCTTGGCCATGGCAGCCGCCCCACCCTATTCTCAGCCGTGCCTGGCACCACCTTTGGTCCCCTCAACCTCGTGGGTGGGGAGAGCCCCTCCCTCGTGGTCAGTGGAATTTCAGAAAAATAAAAAAGGTAAAAGTCTAACAGGCAGAGCTGTCACTAATTAGGAAGTTATAGCTTTTTTGGTTAACTTTAACATTCAAAAATGTAATATTGAATCCAAAAAAGTGTCTTAGATCACACAAAAGTAACCCATATTAAAATTTAAAAAGTAAGTCCAAAACACCCCAGACAAACGAATCTAAAGCTGAACCGGCTGTGGCTGGGCAGCGCAGAGGCCGCCGCTCAGGAAGCCTGAGCTGCGAGTTGGAGCCGGAGCCCGAGTTGGGCCAGCTGAGGCGGGCGGGCGGGCGGCCCCTAGGACACGTTGGCCATGGGCTTGTACTTCTTGAAGCGCGTCCACTGGCCCGTGGCGTAGTTCATCTCGAACACCGTGTCCACCAGCATGGTGGTGCTGCCCTGGCCGTCCGACTTGGGCAGGTCCTCCGTGTGCTCGCTGAGCTTGATCTGGATCACGTCGCCCTGCTCCTGGCATGGGTTCTCTGTGGAGGGTGCAGGCTGCTGGGCAGGCACCGGGGCCAGGGAGCCTGTTCCCCCCACCCCACCTGGGCTGGCCCCACGGACCCACCTCGGGAGCCAGCCATGAAGCCCAAGATGAGAGCCTTCTCGGGCCGCGTGACTTTGTTGGCCGTCTTGAACATCTCCTGTGCGGCGAACATCTGCTCTCTCTGCAGGTGCGGTGTGGGGTGGAGGGTGAGTGCCTGGGCCCCAGCGGCCCACCTCCCGCTTCCCTCCACCTGTATCACTGGAACCCCCACTGCAAGTGCAGGTGGGGTGGGGGTGGGTGAGGCCACACTACCTACCTGGTGGCCTACAGCCCCAAGAGGGCACACCTACCGTGAGGGACAGATTCTTCTTGGGCTGCTGCTGGGCTGGAGGCTGGGTCTGTGGGGCCACCAAGGCCACCGGAGGTGCCTGGGCAGCAGGGGTGACAGCCGGGGGTGTGGTGGGCGTCAGGGGTGAGGCGGGTGCTGCAGGTGTGGGCGTGGCTGGGCTCAGGCCGCTGTTGTACATGGGTGCACGCTGCTTGAACTGTGCCGGCAGGGCAGGGCTTGGGGTGCTGGGCTCCTCGGGTGGCCGGCTGGCCTGTAGGCTGGCTTCCCGGGAAGATGGGGCTGTAGGCACAGGGAGGCCTGCTGAGGGGCCAGCAGGACAGGGACCCCCTCCCCACAAGGCTCTGTGCCCGGCCCCGCCACTCCTACAGGAGGTGGACAGGCTACTCCACCTCCCAGGCCAGGATGCTGAGCGTGTCCTGCCTGAGCCCACACCACATGGCTCTTGCAGCTGTTGGCCCTGAGACCTTGGCTCTTTAAGCTCCTGGACCCTCAGGAGGCCCACAGCTGCGGCAGGAGCCATGAGCAGCACTGCCAGCTGGATGGTGGGCACAGGCCTCACAGAGCCCTACGCTGGAGCCAGAGCTCTTGGGACTTTTCAGATGACATCTGGGCTCCGGGCAGCTCCTGGCCTGAGGCCAGGTTCCCCTGCCCTGGGCACTGGTGAGAAGGCAGCCTCCTTGAGCTCAGCCAGGCTGGCAGACACCAAGGCCGTCTCCAGCTGCCCTCTCCCTGGGGCCAAGCTCTGGCTCGGGCCAAAGCCAAGCCCAACCAAGTGAAAACCTCAGAGCAGAACCTGCTAACCCAGCCCATGTTTCCTTTCGATACCTCTGTAGGAAATTCAGGGACTGGGAGGAGACCCATGGACCCTGAGGTGCTGCCACCTTGGCCATACTTCCCACTGTCAAGCTGCACATGGGGCAGCTGTCGGGGCACAGCAGGTGAGAACTGGGTTTACTTTAAACTGCCAGCCAGGAGGGTCTCCCACCCCAGCCAGCACCAGCAGGGCTGAAGGGACACTGGCAGGTAGGTGCTGGCGAGGGGCCTGGGGAAGGATGACCCGCACACTGTCCAGCCCTACTGCCTGCTCACCTGGTGGGGTCTCGGAGCTGGGGATGTAGGACGAAGCTGGAACCACGCTGGGTGTGGCGGGCAGGTAGCTCGTGGAGGGCAACGCAGACTCGTTCAGAGACCCGAGTTTCTGGAAGACAGTATATGGTCCCCCTCCCAGAAGAGGCCTGGGTCTCAGTGCTGCTCCCCAGGTGGGGGTGGGGCTGCTCTGTGGACATGAACCTCTGCCCCACAGGAGTCCCAACCCTGGAGTAGGACGTGGGCACTGCTCTCCCAAGGGCTGGGGAGGGGCTTCTCCAGGCCACAAGCCCCTGCCCAGCAGGACTGGCCTCCACCTGGAGCTGCCCAAGCAGAGGAGAGGTGTGGGCTACTCCTGTTTGGTGAACGAGCCTCCAAACCAGCCGTCTTTGAGGAAAGAAGAAAGTTCAACGTTTTTATCACGAAAACGTGATGAAGGAAAACACGGTGTTGTAAGAAAATGAGAAAAAGTAGCCACGGGACAAGAACAAGGAACCCATTACCCAGAGCAACAGTGGGGACAGGCCTTCTCCAGGCCACAGCTACTCGCACAGTCTGCGCAGGAGAGACTCTGAGAAGCGGTGAAGGGAACCCGTCGAGGCGCCACATCTGGAGACCTGTCGGCCAGCGCACGCCTCCCTCACCCTCACACCGCAGGGCCAGCACCGCCACCCCCTCTGGATGGGGAAGCCGCGCGCACAGTGTGGCCTGGACACGCTCCACACTGGGCGGCATGCCTGCGTCGGAGCCCCCGGCCAGCGCTGCCTCTCATATACATGTCCATACACATACATACATACACACACCCCGCACACGTATGTACGTACATATGTATATACACATATATATTCTCCGACAGTACACCTTAGGGCTAAGAACGGGGATAGGACGGAGCACACACTGGCCGCGGAGGCGCCGTGGTTACGAAGCCCTACCTGTGTGGACACCAGGCCGGCGGCGTAGTCGGGGGTGGCGTTCTCAATGACAGTCTCCTCCTTGGCTGGCTTTTCCACCACTTCCGTGTCTGTTGACAGAGCCCTCGTCAGTGTCCCTGGCCCTCAAGCAGGTCAGCAACCCAGTCCTGAGACGCTGCCCAAGCCTGCCCTTCAAACCCTTCTCCAGGCAAAGAAAACCAGCCCTTAGGAGGAAGGCCACCTACAGCCACCCTTCCCGAGACAGGCACCAGGGAGACGAGAAACGGGCCTCCATGAGAGCAGAAAAGCCCAAACAGGGCAGACCTCACCCGCCCTGTGGCCCAGCAGCTCTTGGGCGCACATCCTGACCCAGCCCCAAGCTGGGCTGTAGCCACTCCCTCTGCAGACCCCGATGGGAGCCCCAGGTACACACCCAACGTCTTCCTCCTTCTCTTTGCTTCTCGGCCAGCACCGACCATATCCAGCTCAGAAATGTCAAGCAGCTGCCAAGACAGTCAGAAGCCCACCCACTTTAACTACAGCATAAGGAGCGCCCAGGCCAGCCTTTGGGGCCACCAACTCCCAGGGGATGTGCCCACCTTCACTCCCCGCTCCTTCCGCAGAGGTGTCCTCGAAGGTGGGATGGGGGTCCGATTCCCCGCAGGGCTGAAGACACTGGGGGTTGTGGGGCTCCGGAAGGGCGCCTGCTTCGGGATGCCTTTGAGGGGGGCTGAGGAGAGGACGGCGCCGTCAGGGGTCAAGTTATGACAGGCAGAGATGGACTGTCTCCCACCACTGTGTACTCTGCGCTCTCCCATCAGGAGCAGAGGCCATTGTGCAGCATGCTCCGGAGAAAGGTGCTCGCCGGCCCGTGCTGGCCCACACCACCCCTAATCCCACAGACTTGCCACATCCCTATGAGTGCAGGTGGAGGTGACCCCAAGTCACCTGCGACTCATCCTTAGGGAGCAAGGGCCTACCTTCTCCTGGCGGACAAGCACTTGGCACAAGGTCGGCCTGCCCAGAAGAGCAAGGCCTTGGCAGCAGCGACACCATAGCCAACCTATGACATTTTTTGCCAAGAACACTGAACAAGATGCCCCATCTGCAGCCATGCACCCGAGCACACTGTGCCTCTCCCCACAGACAGTACTCGGCTCCAGGTCTCTCCTGCCCCTCACAGTAAGCGGATCTGTTACAGGCCGGATGGATGGCTCCTCCCCACCCGCAAGCCTGGCCCAGGTCTGTCAAAGGGAAGTCGCTGGACACAGCAGGAATAGTTCTTTCTGAACAGGGCCTGGTCCCATCCCTGGGCAGCCAGCACCAGGACCCAACCTCAGTGCTCAGCATGTGGACACGGGCCACTCTCAGCTCTTACACGCCAACCCAGGCCCAATGCACATGCAGCCTCTCAGCATGGCAACAGAACCAGGGCATGGGATGCAGGGCCAAGGAGGGACCTACTGCTGCTCCTGCCCCCAGGGGCACCTGAGAGGAGCCACAGCAACTTAATGTGCTTCCAAGACCACCAGGGTGAGCCTGTCCTGAGGTGACGGGGCCAAGGGACCACCTTTCACACAATGACAAATCGGCTAATGCCTGGACGCCAGGCCCTACACACAAGGTCCTGAACGCTGGTCTGCGTGCCCTATGGAAAGCACCTCCTGAGGCTCCCCTGCGGCTCCACCACCATGCTTGTCTGCCATTTGCACATGGCCCATCTTCCTGGCTGTTTGCTGGGCCCAGGGCAGTGTGTGTGTGGGGTGCGCGCAAAGGGACATGAAACTCAGGAAAATGGCTGTTTGTCTGGGCTCTCCAGAGGCAAGTGCAGGGCATCCCGTTTTCTAGTCCCAACCATCTGTTTTGCTTTGGTTGTGCATGTGGGGCTTTGTGTTTTCAGCCCCGGGGGGGGGGCAGGTCCAGGTGCACAAGGGGGGCCAATGGCTCTCAGCACCTCCCAACTATCAATTAGTCTGGAAACTCACAGAGGAGCAGCCTCCACCTGCTAAGAGTATAGGATATACACCCACGGCCACTAGAGATGAGGGTAGCGAAAGTAGCATTTCCCTCCAACTCTGGTCTTCCCCACCCTCTGGGCTGCGCCCTATGCTGTCCTCACTTCCCACAAGCTCACCAGCGGCCCCGAGGCACCTCAGGGCTGCCATCTGGCCAGACCTCAACATCTAAACAACTTTGCCCATGAGGAAGAGCCTGTCTTGTAAGGGAACCTGCGTGTCTGACAGGGACAGCAAGCTCTGGGCCATAAGCCAGCCCAGGGCCAGGGAGCCTGCGCTCTGTGTGGGCTCTCGGGCCTGAACCAAAGGCAGCTCAGGGGCTGCTCTGGTGTGAGCATGGCCTTACTTGTAGTGTCCATCTTGCGGAGCAGCCCCCGGCCCTTGGCGTGGAAAGGCACCCCCGCGCTCCTCTTCAGCTGCTGGGCGGTCTCGGTGGCTACAAAGAGAAGGGTGTGCATGTCAGTGTGCCCCGTGGTGACAATACCCCTTCCGCTCATGGGAACTATGCCTCCGCCCATCTGCCATACACGGATGTGTGAGTGGTAAGTCCTCCTGCAGACATGGAGCCTGCTCCTCTGAACAAGCACTTGCCCACTCACTGGGGACCACGGCGTAGACAGCAGAGCCAAGAGGCTGCGCCGCCCAGGATGGTGGGCAAGCCGGCAGAGCTGCCCTCTGACGGGGCCTGAGGGGGGCTCTCACATCCACACACCGTGTGAGGTCCCAAATGGGGCTTCGGGCCTCATGGGCAGCCTGGGTGGAGTGTCCTCACCACTGGTCAGCAGGCGTGTTTGGCATTTATCCTCACACGTGCAGAAGTACGAGCAAGGAAACCAGAGGTTTTTCTGATACAGCTCAGGGAGGGACAGAGCCCTAGTGTCCAACTGACCACACAGAGGGGCCTGGGGCCTGGGCTGCATCCGGCCAGCTCTCTGAAGCCAGAGCTACAATGCCCAGGACGCTGTCCATTCTGAACCAGGGTCACGGCAGCTGCTGGGTTTTATTCAGGTCCTTTGCACCAGGGCATTTATGTGTCATTAGCATCAATTCCACACCACTCAAAACAACACAGTTCACGGGAATCTGTGCTTTGCTACTGGGTTGGAGGAATCATTTCGCTGTTTTCCCAGCAGGTATCTTCCACACTCATGTCATAAACTGCTGTTTGGAAAACATTAAATAAAATGCCCGAAAGCTTTACAGCAAATCGAGATTGTCTGCAACTTGGGAACAAGGTGCCGTTACCAGAGCAGGACCAGCCTTTGCACGGCCACCTGTCTCCTCACCCGTATGACTCAGTGGGTTCAGATTTCACTTTTGTAACAAAGATTACAGATGCTTTAACCTGAAAATTCTAAAGTGCCTAAAACAGATTTTAGAACACAGTTCAGTGTAGCAATAAGATTTTAAAAAAACCCCAAAACTTTACAGTTTAGAGCGTGAAATATAAAGAGAATCCAAGAATGAAGCCCCAGATGCAGACGGAGCAGCCCTGCCCGACAGCTCCCAGGGTGCTCCCTCGGCTGGGCCCACCAGGCGACACAGGACACTCACACTTCTGCAGGAGCTCGGCCCTCAGTGTGGCACTCTTTGGTTTCCTCTTCAGCTGGAAATGCTTCACTGGGGGTGTGAGGGGGCCGGCAAGAGTCGTCAGGGCGCTCTTGTTCAAGTACCGGCACTCCAGCGGCAGCATGGCGGATGCCTCGCACTCGGTCACTGTCCGTGAAGGAAGCAGCACAGGGTTAGGAGGCGGTTTCCCTTACATAGCTAAGAGGAAAAACCCAGAATGCAGCTTCCTATGTACAGTCATGGAGCAAGTACCCACCAGATCGACTGGTGTCTCAGCTCAGCCAGTGCAGTCATCAAGGGGCCTCCCCTGGCCCTTGGAAGCAGCAGCCAGCCTGGCTTTCTAGGCCTGTCTGTCCACCCAGGAGTTAGCATGCAGGTGTTGGGAGCCACCCTCAGGGGCGGCCAGGCCACCGTCCAGCAGATGCAGCGACAGCCTCCATCTTTAAGGGGCTGCCAGTTCCGATTCTCCAAACTAGGAGAGGAATTCGAGGAGGAACAGATTCCTCACCTTTATATGTTCCTTCAGACATTTGCCAATACTTTCTAAAGAGTTTCTGGTTCATGTCCTAAACTGAACTGCTGATATTTTCAACACACACTTCTGAGCGTCTGTCTACTGTCAGGGATGTCCTAGGCTCTGGCGACTCAGCTGGAACAGGCAGAGTCCCTGCTGCACGGAGCTGAGCAGGAGACGGCACATGGACACATAGCGGATTAAGCAAAACCTTCAGAGAAAGCAAGTGGGGGAGCTATGGGCTGTTACAAGCTTGTTTCCAAAGATCGGAAGAACGCTGGATGGTGGAGTGACGGCGATGTGTGTGCCCAGCGCCGCTGTGCAGGAAACAGTCAGATGCATTTGGGAAGAGAACTCCTCTTTGGAAGCTGCTCCCCCCAGCACAAATCATGTGTGCACACATACCCTTTTCTCTGAGTTCTCCTAAAATATCTTGAACGTTGGGATTCTGCTCCTCAAGATCGAGGTTAAGTGAGCCTGTGTCTGGAAAGGACTTGAGGATGTCGGCGACCATGAGCACCCAGGGGTCCGTGTCCAGGGTGGCCAGCTGGATGATCTCTGTCAAGGCACCCTTCATCTGCAGGGGGAAGGGGAGGAGTCGGTCCTGAGCGGGCTCCATCCCACCCTCCTGGGAACCTGCCACCCGCTGCCTCAGCAGTGAACACAGGAAAGGAGCTGGGCAGAAGGGGCGCCCACCATCTTTATTTTTAAACAGGGCCCCCTTCAAACCCTGCTGTAGCCTCTAGGGGGCTCACAGGGCAGCATCCAACCTCTTTAGCAACTGCCCCCATGCCAGGCCCCACCCTCACAGGAACCTACAGCCTCTTTCTCTGTGCCCCCCCATCCCCCATCCTAGGGCCATCTCGCCTCTTTGGACTCCCACAGCCTCCACCAGGCAGCAATGCCACTCAGATCTAGTGCCCCCCCACCTGGCCTGTTGCCTGCCCTCCTGTTGGGGCGGCCTCACCTCCCCTCCCCACCTCCCCGCAGCAGCACCAGTCTCCTCGCCTGCTGCTACCAAAGGAAATGTGAGGTCATCTAGAACGAGCTCACACATTCTGGCTCCTGTCTTCTTTGAGTCCCAAGAACTATGCCAGGCGCCCACACTCCTATTTAGAACCTGCTGACAAGGCATCTTGAGTGTGGGGAGCTGAGCCCAGAGTAGCAACGGGCAGGGGAGCAACAAGACAGACGGGCAGCCCTAACATGCTCAACAGGCCCAGGTCTCAGCCACCAGAGGCTGCAGGAAGGGGCGCATGCCTGGGAAGGCAGGGAAGGCCTGAGGTCCCGTCCTGTCCTGTGACGCGCAAAGCCCTGCATTTGCCTAGGCCCCCCAATGGCACAGAGGATAACTGTGGGGGCTGGAGTCAGCTGGAGCCAGCAGGTACTGGGATTTAGGACAGAAGGTGCCCAAGACAACAGGAGCCTCCTGGGCCTCAGGAGCTGGGCCAGGCTCTGCACATCCATCCCGCAGCCGGGTACTGGGCTCACGTCCTTCCCTGGGACAGCACAAGAGACCCTGGAGGAGGCAGCATGCCAGAGGACCAGGGTGATGTGGGGCTCCACCTGTGTGCCCTCAATGCCCAGGAGGCTGAGTTCTCCCACAGTGCCGCTCTGCCCACCCGGATCCGTGGCCAGCGGAGTCTCCTCCACACCAAAGCATCAGCTTGTGTCTGCCATGCTCCTCTTGGCCACACTTCCCCTGACAGGCGTGAACAGTAACCATATGACCCAAACAGTTCCTCCCCTAGTATATATCCCTGACACATGAAAACATATGTCCACGTTGAAAAGAAAAAGCACCTGTCTGTAGAAACTTGTCATGAATTTTTACAGCAGCACCATTCACAGTGGACAAAAGGTGAAGACACCCAAATGTCCACCAGCTGATGAAAACTAATGAATGAAGGGGCCCATCAATACAGCAGAGTATCTATCCTTCTGTCATGAAAGAGGGATTAAGGATCGATCCACATGGATGAAACTTGAAAATATCAGGCCAGGTTAGAGAGACCAGTCACTAGCTCAGCCGGTGTGGCTCAGCGGTTGAGCAATGACCTAGGATCCAGGAGATCCCAGTTGGATGCCTGGTCAGGTCACATGCCTGGGTTTCGGGCTCAACCCTCAGTAGGGGGCATGCAGGCAGGAGGCAGTCGATCAATGACTCATCGTTGATGTTTCCCTCTCTCTCCCTCTCCCTTTCTCTCTCTGAAATCAATAAAGATATATTAAAAAAAAAAAGAAAAAAAAAAAGAGGCCAGTCACCAGAGACTATGTATTGTAGGATCCACGTGGATGACATGTCCAGAGCAGGCAGGTCCAGACACAGAAAGCAGATTAGTGGCTGCCTGGGGCTGGGAGGTGCAGGGGGAAGCCTGCTAATTGGTATAGGGCCTATTTGGGGCTGCTAAAAATGTTACAAAATTGACTAGGATGATACACTAAAACCCATTCAACTGTATGGTATATAAGTTATGTCTCAACAGAGCTGTTAAAACTCATTCATGATTTAAAGTAATTTTTTTAAATTCTAGGAATAAAAGAGAATTTTCATAACCAGGTAAAAGGTATCTACAAAAAACAAGAGAAAACATAATACTTATTAGCAAAATAGTGAAAGTTCTCCCTATGTGATCAGAAATGAAACAATATACTGAGGGTCCTGGTAACTGCAGTGAGGCAAGAAAAAGAAGTGAATGGAAACTGGAAAGAGAAACAATAGTAGGAATTACACAGAAAAGTAAAGAAGCCACAGGAAAGTTATTGCAATCAATAAGACTTTAGCACAGGTGCTATTCAAACTCATCTAAAAATAAAAACATGTTTATGACAACAAAGAAATATGAAATATGTAAAAATCTAACAGAAGATAGAAGGCCTCTACGGGAAAAATCGCAAAGCTTTATAGCAAATATTAAAGATCTAAACAGAGAGGTAGGCCTATGTTCAGAAGTTACAAGACTCAGTACTGAGATGATTTAACCCCAGAATGAACTAAATTCAACTCAGTCTTAACCAGAACCCCAACCGGGTGCCGGCGGTGGGCGTGGCCCGGGCGGCGGGGGTGAGAGAGGCCCGGGCGGNGGGCGGGGGGCGGGCTCCGCCCAGGGCCCGCGGTTCTCAGCAGACACACGAACAGCCTCGAGGAACCGAGTAGAAGCAAACCCACGGCCCGGGGCCGCCTTTCCGAGGGTGGAGCGGGGCTGACCGGCGTCCACACGGGCAGCAGTCACGTCAGACGCCAGCTGCCCACGGCCCCGAGCTCCGGGTGGACGCGGCCGAGGGGCGAAGCTGCAGCCCCGACGGGCAGCAGGGGTCCGGACCAGACGGGGTCGCGGGCCCAGCCCCGGGGGGGCCGGTGTCTGTCCTCAGGGGCGCCCAGGGCGCAGGGACCCTACGCGGGGCACAGCAGCTGAAAAAGGGCCGCTGGCTCACCTGTACGGCTTTAAAAAGTTCCTGCAAAGCAATGGGGGGAAATCAGACACGAAAGCTATCAACAGGTAATTCACGGAAACAGAAATCCGAACAGTGAAGGAGACGAGGTGCCGGCGCCGCGTGGGCTCCCACGGGCCCCGGCCGCAGGGCGGGAACCCCGGGGCGAGTCCTCCGAGTGCCACCAAAACCAACCTGCCCGGCGGGTGACGCGCGGGGCCGGGCCCCCGGCCGGGCCGCAGGAGGCTCCTGGACGCTTC